CTTGTACTGCTCGACCAAGGACTTAGTTCGCTCAATTCCCTGGGAGGCGTTGCGCTTTTTAGCAGCCATTCTCTCCCTGCAGTCATCCATTTTAGCTTGAAGTTCCCTCATCTGAGCAGCCAAGCTAACCATCAAAGAGTCTTCAATCATGACTTCGGAAGAGATTTCTTTCAACTCGTCCTCAGCCTTGTTAATCTCCATGCGCAAAGACTCTTTCTCAGCTACGGCTCGAAGATATTGAGTACGCTTGGCCTTTAGTTCAGCATTCTTGACCTGCATAGAAAGGACCTCGGAGTGGATAACCTTCAACGTCGCTTTAAAATCGGCAGAAAGATTGAGTGACGGAAGCGTCAATGCTTGCTCCAACTTCGCACTCAAGTGCTCAAGTTCATCCTTGTGTCTGGCAGCACTAGCCCTTCCAATAACCATATCCATGAAGGATACGTACTCAAATATCGAATCCTTCAGGAACTTCAAATCTTCCTCTGAAGAAGCAGCAGGACGATCAGATGGAGCAGGGCGAGACGTCTGGACTTGCCCCCAGGAAGCGAACAAGTCTTGGATAGAAAGCACAATCCTGTCAGCATCCTGTAAAGAAGATTGCCAATATTAAAAATCCTCACTACAACGAACAAGATGGAAATAGAAGTGAAGCAAAGACTACCTCGTCGACAATCGTAGAAGATGGCATGCCCTCAGCCAAGCTTGCCACCAACGACTGATCCATTCGTGAGGACTTCCCCTTATCTGAGCGAGAAGATGTTGCCACAACGGGCGGACTCATAGGAGTATCTGCAAAGCTCAAGAGCAACAAATCAGAAACCAACGACATGAGCAAAGGTAAGACACCAAAAGACCGAATTACCTTCTGCTTCAATGATTGAGGGGTTGACGTCCTGGCAAGAAGGTGGCTCATCCATGGGTTGTGATGAGGATCCCGGGACTGAAGATGTCTCTTTAAGCGTAGCCCCTTCATCAACCGGTTTGGATGAAGTAGCCTCAGCAGAGGATGATGGAGCAGGAGTTGTCGATGTCAAAGCCTTTGAAGGAGAGGCTGAGCTTTTCTGAGAAATCCAAAAGATCATCAGCACACAGAAAAGTTTCAAGTGTGGAAAAGTATACTTGTAAGTAAACCAATTTAATTACCTTCCTTCTAACGATAAGAGGGACATCATCATCATCATCAACATCATCCTCCAGAATGGGAGATGCTGAGGCTGGCCGTTTGCGGCTTGGAGCACTCTTGGCTATAGTAGGCTTGGCAGGGAGAGAAGAAGATGGACGAGCAGACTGCTTAGTGCGACGAGAAGGAGAGGGGCTCCAAACAGACAAAGGAGTGACCAAAACAGGAGGAGGAGGAGAAATGCTCTTGGTCTAATGAATGAAAGGCACGATTGGCATCAGTCGCAAATAATCTGCGCTTCACCGACGGCCAGAGTTGTTCAAAAAGAGGGTGAATGGCGTGGCTAGAATTGAAGGGGGCCAATGAAAAATGACTGGTTAAAAAAAGATTACGAGCATCTATAGCCTCTGCCTCCGCCTTAGTAATGGTATGAAAACGGTCAACTAAGTTCTTTGAATAGCAAGGAGGAACAGGCCAAGTTTGGCCAAAACCAAGCTGGTGAGCAAAAAATTCGGGAGCATAAATCTCTACTCCCGCTTTGGCATTGGTCCCAGTTAGAATATCATGAAATAGCTTCTTCCCGATTAAAAACTGGATCCAAATGAGCAGGGAAGTGCTCGCGTTATCTATAGTGGAAGGGGGATGTACATAGTTTGGAGTCAAAAAAGGAGGAAAAGGAAAAAAGAAAGGGATTGAATCCAAAGAATAAAAGAATGAAAAAATATCCCTTCTGGACATATTTACAGAAGTTAAGGGCTCCATGGCTAGCCCATAACAGCTAGCAGAAGGGCGAGAAATGGAGGGAGCACCAAGTGATGGAAAATAGGATCTCAACCACAGTTGAGTGAACCAAAGAGGTCCACTGCCAGTGGGAGATGCACTATTCTTCAATTGAGCTTGAAGAGAGGCCATGCCTCTATAAAGGGCAGCAAAAACAAAGAACATAAATTCAAAGGCCCGCCACTCGCCAATTCGTGCGCTATAGGTAAATAACTCAGGGAGGGCTTTATGCTTGGCACGCACAAAACATATTTACAAAACCAAACTAAAAGGAAGGCCACTCGCTCAGTATGGGAAGGCTCAGCGCTTGAATGATTGTGGAGGGTCTGCAGGCTTGAATAAGAGTCAGTATAGTTTTTACCAAACTTTGGGGCGCCACCAGAAACTAAGATACCTGGGAAAATGGTATCGTCCAAAGGTGGTAGATTCACCAGGGCCCCAACATCTCTTAACGTAATAGACATGGGGCCAAGAGGGAAAATAAATGTGTTATACTCAGGGGACCAAAAACTCAAAGCAATCGAAAAGAGTGCTGAATCAAAAGTAGGGGGCGAATAGAGACTTCTAACAAATCAGAAATCCTAGCGCTATCAAAAAGTGCCTTAGTAGGACCATGATCCACAAGACGAGCATGCCACCTACGAAAAGCTACATCAGATTTAGGCCAAGTGCGAATACCTCTTTCGCGAAGTGGCCCCAGCGGTAGAGAGTTCAGGAATGGAGGACCCTGAGTGCAAGGAAACAGTTGACCCACCGCCGCCTGTTCAACTGCCTCTGCATTGTTGAAGAAAGGACCCAAGTAGAACTCATTACGTCCAACGTCGGCGGGTGCGAGAAAACTTGGGGTTATGTATGGGCGACTCAGAAGTCTTTGAAAGTCATCAAAACTGAAGGAGTCGCTAGCCTGAGATTGTGAAGCAGCCATTTGAGAAGGAACGAAACTTTTCAGGGTTACGTAGCAGAGAAGAAAAAGGTGAACAGTGAATCGTGAAAGAGACACAAAAAATATGAGGCGTGGTTTGATGGCAGTAAAATGGCGTGTTTGGGGGGTTTATAAGGGTTTGCAAAACGACGCACTTTTTCAAGTTATAGAAGAAAACAACGATTAAAATTCTTGGGAATTTCGAATATTGCTGGAAACACAAAGTGAATATGGCAAAATTTAATAATTATTATTAATTCTGCCATATTGGGGGGTAATTGTTAACACATAAAAATTCAGCCCAAATCGAACAGCCCAAGGAGTAAAGCCCAATTGGAGGATCCCCAAATCAGATAGCCTAAAGAATGAAGCCCAATCGAACAAATCAAGATGAAGGCCCAAATAAGGAGGCCCAAGAACGCGGTAACGCCATCACCCAAGTTTGCAAGTCGCCCAGAATCTGAGCGAATGGAGTGTCATACAGTCGCCCAGAACTGTTACTCTATTCTCGCCCAAGGTCTTAACAAACATAAAGCGTCGTGGTTATCAAAAAGTGCAGTTATCAAAGCAGTTATTGAAGCAGCCCTATCACGTTCCACGATTCAAGGAATTCAATCAAAAGCGGTTGAACGATGAAGGGTAATGACAGCAGTTAAAAGGCAGTTTTCATGACAAAGTGGCCATTACGAAAAAAGTTGGTAGTTATAGGACGATCAAGCAGTTTTTAGAGTAGTTGATCACAAAGAGATCGTCTATGAAGTATAAAAGGGAGAAAGGACATAGAAGCAAAGGACCGAATCCAAAACTCTCGAACAGAGAGCATGTAATTTTCATTTCCTTAATTTTTAGATTTAAACACTTTCCTTTCAGTAACTCGTGTGCTTGCGCCCCTTGGAGGCACGTTTTTCATTTCCAATTGTAAAGTCATCGCCAATAAAAGAACACCCCTTTTTAGGACTTTGTCTCAATAGGTTTGTCCCTTACACAATCGTCTGATCCTTTTTAATTGTTAACGACTAACCCGCGCGAAACAAATATTCATTAATACAAATAAATTCGGGCCTCAAAATGATAAGTCGGATAGGATCATGCACTCACGAAGTTCCGTAATTGTATCATTAACCATGTGACGGGTGCCTAAGAAAGAGGTAATCACTATAATTAAATTTAAGTTTAAGTCTAAAACAGCATTTAAATGTTTATATATTTGTAAGTGGGCGCTTCTATCTTCGAATTCCACGCCATTGCTGTTGCAAGTAGTTAATGTACTTATTTGTACAAAGTTGATGTTTCAAATGAGTTGAAGTCGAACCTTACTGTTTGACCCTTCTCGACATGCTATAGTGACAAGTCAACCCATGCTCGTCTCACCAAAAATCCCTTTGGATTGTCTTGGTCCAACCGAGTATGAGCTCAGCTGAGAAGGGCCATACATTCATCGGCATGCATCTTTTTGCCCTTTTTGTTTTTCCTCTTTCGAAAATTTACAACAGAGGTCTCAAATATTGCAAAAATATGTGGCATATCCTAAATTTTATAATCCTGGTAGTTAGGTATTAGACTTTCAATAAATGTGCAACGAAGGGCATTTAACGATTGTAATCTAAAAAATTGTCAGTTGATCAAAAGTTAAACGTTTAACCTAAATTTGATCAATTTAAGGCAATATAAAATGGCCTTTCGAGTAATGTTTTTTAACTCCTCTAGCCCTTGTTTGAGTCTCATTCTTGTCAAAAATTAAATTTTTGAATAGTGTATTGATAAAAAATGTGTGATTAAAAAATAAAGAAAATTTTTGAATTTGTTTGTAATATTATCTTAATAAAAAATATGTAATTGAAATGAGGTCAAATTACTGTTAAAAAATATATTTTGATAGAAATAATTGGACTCAAACAAAAGCCTAGAGTTATAATATCAGGTGACACTAATGGTTATTAAGAGAATGTTTGACATTCATTTTTATAGAAAAATGAATTTTGAAATAATAAATTGATGGAAAATGTATACATAAAAATAAGAGAAAAATTTTTAATTTACGTATAATATTCTTTTAATAAAAAATGTGTGAATAAACAAAAAAAAATATATTTTAATAAAAATAAGAATCAAATGCCTTAAATGAAAGACCACCTTTAATTGAACCAATTAGACTGGTGCAAATAGCCGTACATGCACATATATATGCATCACATCACAAGTTACCATAGGAAAAGTTTAGCACTGACAATGAGAATGAGAGAAGTAGCAGACTGCACAGAGGAAAAAGTGGAGGGAAGCGACGACGTTTACGAGTCAACTCCGGTGGCAGCGTTCCAGCTGAAATGGGACGTGTTTTTGAGCTTCCGAGGAGAAGACACCAGATATGACTTCACCTATCTTCTGTACGAAACCCTAAACTCCGATCAGAATCAGATCCGGGTCTTTCGAGACAACGAAGGAATGGATCGGGGCGATGAGATAGCGCCGAGTTTGCTCGAAGCGATTGAGGACTCGGCCGCGGCTGTTGCTGTTATATCGCCGAATTATGCATCCTCACGTTGGTGCCTGGAGGAGCTGGCCAGACTTTGCGAGTCGAGGAAACTTGTGCTCCCCGTGTTCTTCAAAGTTGATCCGTCGGACGTGAGAAGACAGAGAGGACCATTTGAGGAAGGGATTAAGAGTTTGGAGGAAAAGTGTGGAGTGGAGAAAGTGAAGAGATGGAGGAATGCAATGGAAAGAGTTGGAGGAATTTCTGGTTGGGTTTACAAGGACAACAGGTTAATTTTCTCAATCTCCGTCTCTCTTTCTAACATCTATATGAAAACCCTAAATTATCACGATTCTTGAGTAAGATGACGATAAACAATATTAACCAAAGTCTTAATCTGTCAACTGAGTCCATTACGCTCCAAGGAGCAATTGGATCTCACTAAAAAAATGAGCATGCGAATTTTCAGATTTGTTTGCTCAAACGAGGCATCATTTTACGAGGAATAAGGGTTTGGACTACTCCTCGATCTTATCCAAAATCTTAGTATTCAATATATACATGCGAGCCCTTCCCCATCGGGTCGAGTTGCTCGAATAGCTCTGATCTCTCTATCTCTGTTCTTTCCCTTTCGCCCTTGTACTATACGTTGTACCAATCTTGTCAGTAAGGTGTTTTGGTCGTAGAAGATAAGGCTTTGAACTGCATCCACGAAAAATAATTAGAATTTCATGTCATTTAGGTAATTATCTATGAGGAAGTGAAAGCATATCTGGGCGCTCTTATTCAATTACAGATTAATGAATTTTTCTTACAATTTTTTAGTTGTTAATTATGCATTAAGCATATCATAATTATAAGAAATCTATTTTAATTAACTAATTAAGATACAAAAGATCTCAACAACTTTAATAATATTGATAATAATATATACACACGGATTTATCAATCTTGAAAATTTTAAATTCGGGTTTTTGGCTCGAGTTCTAAGCCAAAATCTCCAATCTAAAAATATAAAAAACTTGGCCTTAGGCATAATCACCTTCCCTGTTAAAGATAATTGTTAGGGAAAGAAAGAAATTTTGAAAAACATCTTCTCCCTTACTGTATATATGCATAATTAAGAGATTAGCACTGATATTTCGGACTGACCATAGTATAGAATTCTATATTATCTTAAATGTTCTAATAGTTTTCTAATTATTGAGCTAGGATTAGGAATGATTTATAACTTATATTTTTGGACTCAATGGTGAGGTTTTTTCCCCCTAAAATAGTGAATAATTGTTAAAAGTATTTGCAAAAGTAATTGATGAGAAACAAAAAAAAGTCTCACATTTGGAGCTTAAAGAGAACGAACAAGCAAGCAAAGATTTCACTACTGATGTTCTCAAAGGAGTTATGAGCCTGACAAGTCAAAAATTGCAAGACGTGCATAGCCTTTCTCGGCACAAGAGAAAGTGATGAATGAGAAAGGACAATAATATTTCTTGGTAGGGTTCAATTTAATAATTTTGTATCCAAAAATCAGCGTTGTCACCTCATAAGTGATGTCAGTTTGGACGGCAAAATGACGTGCTGAGTTTACTTTTGGTTCAAATGATTCACAACTGGTAAGGAAAAACTATTTGTACACTATGATGTATAGTCCTCTCACATGTTGAAGTGGCTCCATAATGTGAGGGGGCTCCACATGAATATTAAATTTGTGGTGAGGGGGCCGTAAAAGTGTACATTCTCCAAATTGTAAGAGGAAATTTATCCGTTTGGACTCCATTTCAATTTTATACATTTTCTTTTCTCTATCTTTCTTTTTAGTCACATATTATTCAGTAAAATAATATTACACGTAAACTTAAAATTTTTCCTTCTTTTTTAATCATATATTCTCTAAAAATTATTACTTCAAAATACATTTTTTTGCATAACTTCATGAAAATGGAGTCCAAACAATTATTTAGTCAATTACGATATTAAAATAAAAAATTATTGACGGTACCATGAGTTCTATTAGTCAATAGAAAATGATGCGCTCCACTAATATATTGTGGTTCACAAAACTCCAAAACTTAAAGAAAATTTAGTCAAGATCCTAGAGAACTAAACCAATGAAGAAAAAGGCCAGTGATACAATCGATTCAATTAGATCAATCAAAGTGTGATAAGAAGAAAGAAAAAAGAGACGAGATATTTGTTTATTGTACAGTTAGTGCTCATCGCAAAGCGATGTAGATAATGGTTATCTAGTTGTCATGTTTCAGGATTTTATTAAAGAATTCGATGATTGGAGCGCTAATTTAGTAAAAATCAATATTAGTAATAGTTTTGCCCTAATTTTATTTCTCACAATTATTCAGTAGATCATAAGTAACTAAATATACATATGTTTAGTTGGATCTATGTATAAATATTGTCATTGATCTTCAAATTTGCATCTCTGTGATAAAACTTAATTAAAAATAGGGATAGAACTCTAACCTACTCACAACAACAAATTGAAATTTTATTTTTCCTTTCTTATTAATGGCGACTTAATTTCTTTAATCTCTTGATAAGATATATTACTTGGATCTGTGCCTAAGCAATTTCTCAAGTTTTCTTGGATGTAAAGGACTTTCATTGAGTAATAATTTATATATACATGTCCCAAGTTGTCTTTCTTCTAGAATAATTTATTCCCTAGCCCCTCTTATTCTTCGAGAGTAAACTGGTAAAATGAGCGGATTTCTTACCACTATAGCATGAGTAAGAATACTAAGAACTACAGATTCAAATCAAAAATGCTAAAGTATAATAAAAATTATAGATTCAAATTAAAACACTACGGTAAAATTTTTACATATCTACTTACAGTTGAAATCATGTCAGAAGCAACAATGATTAAAAAAGAACATACTAAGAGTATATATCCAAGAGATTTTTTAAATATAAGATGCTATATCCAAGAGACTTTTTAAACAGAAGATGCTATTTATTGTTGTGATTCTCCGATCATGAGAAGAGAATAAAAGAGTAAAAACAATTCTATTTCTACTTGAATAGAATTTACAACGGAGTTTACAAACTAAAAAAAATCTCTCAAAAGAGTCTCTTTAATGTCTCTTTTTTTTCTCTTCTCTATCCAATTTTTCTTCCTCTCAAGGGACATCTATTTTCTTTTTATGGTAGCACATATTTATAGAAAATTTTTGGCTACAAACCGTCATAAACTTGTGGTCAAAAACTAATTAAGAATTGCGGCTGGAGAATTTCATTTCAAAATATCTTCTTGCATAGATGTTTCTTCTCCATTAGGCAATTGAAGTTGTGGCCGTTAAAAAGTGGAGAGTTTTAATTCAAATTTTCTTCTTCATCCATGCATGTGGATTCTTCTACATTAAGAAAATGAAATTCAACAATTTCGGCTGGAAGAAACTTGATTAATATGCGGTTGGAACACATCATTTATTTTTAATAAGTGTACCATTAAAATTATACTTCAAGAAACTCTTTAAATTCACATTTTATTTTAGAGAGTAAATTTGACTCTTAAAATTTGGGGAGCCAAATCACTTTCCGTAATTAAATATATTCAAAGTACTTCAATTTTCAATGAAAAATATAATACAGTAATTTTAAGGAAAAATAATGAAAATAAAAGATAAGGAAAAACAATAAAACCCCGTTTGGCCCCCATTCTCTTTCACTTTTTTTTTTCCCTCTTTCTTATTTTCAATCAAACAACTTTTTATAAAATAATATTATATGTAAATCGAAAACTTCTTATTCTTTTTCAACGACACATTCTTTAAAAAACACTATTCCAAACATTAAAATTTGGAGAGAATGGGGATCAAATGGGGGCTAAATATTTTTGGGAATAGTAAAACTAAGTGTTGAATATAAAGAGTCTTGGAGTACTTAAAAATTTTTATTTTCTAATTTTATATATGCTCTCTAAATTGTAGAATGTGCTACTTGGAGATGTTCTAAGCCCTTATTTGAGCTCCATTATTTAAAAATTCATTTTTCTCAAATTCATTTTCAACTATACATCTCCCAATAAAATAATTTTGCAGGTAAATCAAACACTTTTCCCTTATTTTTTAATCACATATTCTCATAAAAATCAATATCAACGAACTCATTTTTCTCAAAAATGGGGCTAAAAAAATGCTAGTTTTCCAACAAAATCAACAATGATACTAGAAAGGAATGAAAAACTAAGATCAGTGAAAAATATACCACAATGATGAACTTAGATTAGCATAAAGTGCTTTTCCATAAGAGAGATGATGGATAATATTATAGAGAAACCTAACAAAATACGTAAAAGACACGTGGTTATATGGTTGTATAGAAGATGAAAATGAATATCACAGTTTAGGATAGGAAATATAATGATATATCAATGACGACTAAGAAATAATAGAATGACTAAAGACATGACCATTATGAATAGATCTTGATGTTTTATGAAGCTTCTGAAGAAAAAACAATTGTATTATACCCTTTCGTATCAAAGTGATTATAAGTTAGTCATTGGTTAAGTATCATTGGTTTGTTCTATTCACTCAATTATTTCAACAAATACTTGGAAGAATTTTTCCGGTAATTAAACCCATCGATCTAGTCATTTTTTATAATCATATTACTATCATTAGCTATAATATAGGATAATATTCTAAATACATAAAGAACCTTTTTATATTTTCATATGCGATGCATTTTGAGAACATTTTTGTATTTTACAATATACTAAAACATGCGTTATTCATATACTTGATCATGAACTATATAGGACTGGAAATTGTACGCCATTCCCATTTTAGAATAAAAAGAGTGAACATTCAAGCTGAGGTCAAAATTCTAATGAAAACAAAATGTTAAAATAAGGTGTTTCTTGTGTAATTTTCAAGGTACTAAAAAAATCCATGTTTTCTATTTTATTTTATTTTTAATTTATATAAATAAAAACATTGGAATATCTTAATGATTTAATCTAATGTATTTTCTTTCAAATTTCGATCAAAATGTTGAAATTTTTAAACGTTAAATTTTCTTGAATTTGTACAAGTAGATATTGATAACAATGTAATCAGTTGCCTCTCCTTCTCTTGCTTGAAATTCCTCTTAATATATGATGCGTCTAATTTCAATTCTGTCATGTTTGGTTGTACTTCAACATAAGTCTTTAAGTTACTTATTTTGTCAAATAAGATCGATATAGTTAAATATTTTATTAACAAAAGCTATTTTTACGTCGTACAATAGTAGCTTCAGAGAACAGCCAAACAGGGCATCTTCTTGTACTCCAATCCTTCATAAGTAACTAAACAAATAAATTCCAAGAATATGTTAACTTTGAAGTGAATGAATTGTACTTTGCATTGCAGGGATCAGGCACCTTTGATTGAATCTATAGTGAAAAGGATCATGGATAAATTGAAGAACTCCCCAGTTGTTGTGGCTCCATATACTGTGGGGCTCGATTTTCCCATAGAGGAAGTGATGGAATTGTTGGATGTTACGCAAAATGTGCCCCAAGTTCTGGGATTCCTAGGTACGGGTGGAATTGGCAAGACAACTCTTGCTAAAGCTGTTTACAATAAACTTGCAAGGCATTTTGTACACCGTAGTTTCATCTCAAATGTTAGAGAAAATTTCGATAAGCCTGATGGTTTATTGTTGCTTCAGAACAAACTCGTTAAAGATCTTTCTACAAGTTCAGCAAGTCCTTTTGACAACAATAATGCTTTTATGGCTAAAATCAAAAGAATTTTTCGGGAAGAACGAGTTTTGCTTGTTTTAGACGACGTTGACAATGTAAATCAGCTCAACAAACTAGCTATTCATAGAGATTGGCTTTCTGAAGGAAGTCGGATTATAATTAGTACAAGAAATAGAGATGCTTTACCAGCTGATCTCGTGAATAAGATTTATGAGGTGAGACAATTAGGCTCTTCTGATTCGTTAAAACTCTTTAGTTACTACGCTTTGGGAAGAGAGAAACCTAATGACATTTTCTTGAAACTGTCCAAACAAATTGTTTCCGTTACTGGAGGATTACCTTTGGCTCTACAAGTATTTGGTTCATTCCTATCTGACAAGCGGAATGTGGAGGAATGGCGTGATGCACTAGAAAAGCTGAAGAAGATTCGTCCGTACCACCTTCAGGATATATTGAGGATAAGCTATGATGCACTTGATGATGAGGAGAAGTGCATATTCCTTGACATTTCATGTTTATTATTGAATTTGGAAATGAAGAGAGAGAGCGTAATCGATGCTTTGAAGGGCTGTGGTTTCAGAGCAGAAATTGCATTCTCAACCCTTAGTAAAAGATCTCTCATTAAAGTTATTGATGAAGATGAGTTGTGGATGCACGATCAGATTAGAGATATGGGAAGACAGATTGTTTTGGAAGAAGGCCATTCAGATATTGGAAAGCGAAGTAGAATATGGGACCGTGGAGATGTTCTCGAGGTCTTGAAGGGCCAAAAGGTATATATTCGGACATAAAAAAATTGTTGTATTGTGTGAAGTCTAAGTTTTACTATTCAATTATTTTCTCGATTGCACATTAATCTTAACAGTTGTGCTACCTGCACAGATCCTTTTGCACAGGATTTGTACAGGTGCACACACATGGGGTGGACCCCACACATGGGGTCCATCCCCATGTGAGAGCCCGGGCCTGTGCAGAGAGCTTTATTCTAATCTTAAAAGATGTTCCTATAATTATCCTCTGAATTTTTAAATATCAATCTACAGGGCACGCGATGCATCCAAGGGATTATCGTTGATCTGGCTGTGGAGAAGCGCACGAGAATTATTAGTGCTAGAACTATAGCTCTCAACAATCTTCGAATATCTCCTAATGTCACTGCTGTGTTAACATACATGAAGGAGAAATACAAGGAATATTTTCAACATGGAGCAGAAGAGGGTGAAGTAATAGTGGATACCAAATGGTTCGAGTCAATGGTTAATCTGAGGATGCTCCATTTCAGTAATGTTCGACTCGAAGGAGATTTTAAACATATGCCTGGTGCAGTGAAATGGCTACAATGGAAGAAATGTTCACTCAGAAGTCTGCCTTCTGTATTTTTGGACGGTGAAATGGCTGTTCTTGATCTCTCACAGAGCAAGATTGAAAGTATATCGGGGTGGAAGTGGTTCTGGGATAGACGAAAGGTATGTTTCTGTTTCATGACATTTTCTGAGAATTGCCAAATTTAAATATGCACATAAGTTTGCAAAAAATATTAAAGAGGAAAAGCAATTGATTTTACGATTTTGGATGAAAAATCTTATTGCTATTAGTTCAAGGATCTTTATTATTATTATTATTATTATTATTATTATTATTATTATTATTATTTTTAATTCAGTTATGCAACAGATTATCTTTGATGTATCTAGTTCATTTGGGAAAGATAGTAACAGTGGAATAGGCATGTCTCATTCTTTCTTGCCATATGTTTGAGGAGGCCGAAAGGGATTTTGTTGATTCTGATTCATCCATTCTAGCCTGTAGCAGAGAATACATTTTCGGAGCCGCTCCTCCACCGTTCTTATATATCTATCACTCCATAAATCTATCCCTATTAAAATTTTAAATTTTAAGAAAGTACTATATTCATTCATATCACATTCCAATTTTATCTTTATTAAATTCATTTGTTTAAACACTATTTACCTGCACCATTTTTATGTGCCTATGCTACTCTAATTTATCCCTATTTAAATTTTAAAAATGTACTATACTCATTTTCATTATATTCCAACACTACACTTAGAGCTTGTTTGCTATAGATTTTAAGCCAATTTCATCATGCATTGAGAATTTGGTTTTGATAAAGACTTTGGGATAAGGACTCTAATTCATACACAACTTCAAGATTTAACTCGTACAAATTCTCCACGAGGTATAAGCTCTTCATAGGTTCAACATAACAATTAGATTATTGTTGTATACATTGGAAACTTGAGAGAATTGTTTAGTTTTATATTGAGAGAATTAAATCTTGTGAAGACAATTTTAGTTTCTTGGAATAATAAAGTCTCATCTCATCCTCTTCCACAAAAATCTTGTTTGTTCTTTGATCCATTATTTTTATATTATTCATATTTACTCGTTCTTTAATTATTTGGTCGGATTATCAACAATACTCGTGGTACTCCTCGTTTCTCTTCTCCAACAAATGTATTTGCTCTTGAATATCCTTGATTTCCTGACTCTGCATGCACACCATGCGATCCTCCCTCATCTTCAAAGACACCGACCAAGCTCAGAGGCCTTTCTCTTCAAAAATGAGGATTCGGAAGCCAACCCTTTTGTTCTCTTCCATTAACGACGTCATTCAAATGTCGCATTATCATTCAAAAGAATTAGGTTTCTAATTCCAGTACATCCAGCAAATTCTGCTACAGCTCTATCTTTCTCACTAATTCACTCAACCGGTTCTCGGCTATGCTAAGCTCATTCAGATTGAACTTCATGGTTGACGTTCTACTATGATCATATCAGGATCTGGCTCCCAATAAAAGTGACTTGAATGACACTGAACACCCAGCATCAGAGTCTATTGCTGGCATCCCCTCTCCATCAAACTGACTGTTATCTTTGAAACTTAAGGGTGGGACCAGGGAGGAGTGTTGAAGTGAATGACGTGTCAAATTTCAATCCATTGGTGGATTTTAAACTTAATTCAAATGTTGAAGCCCACCATAAGTTTATCCACCAATGAATTTATATGATACCTCAACATAATGTTAAAAATATAATATAGATTTATTATTATTATTATTTTTTAAATGGATAGATATAAAAAATGATGGATGAAATAGAGGCTCCCTACATTCTTCCCCTTTTATGCATTTTCACTATTCTAGAATATTGTTTTTTCTTAAGCTTTAGATCAACAAGGGTGTCTTCGAAATTTAAACTAAGGTGAAGGATTTTTGAAAAGAGTGCAGGTGTGGAAGATAGAAATTTTATAATCACTGCTTATATAGCATCTTTGTTACCCATTATTAGATCTTGCATGGTATTAAGCTTTTCAATATCAATTGAAATATGTTGTTGCGTCTCAGTCTGCATTGAAATTGGGGTTGACTGATGATGTGAATTAAGCTTTTAATATCATTGTAACCAGTCTAGATCATTGATGAAAGGTTTTGTAATATGAGCTTGGGCTTGTCACAACAATATAGTTACAAGAAAATGAGACAGAAAATGAACTAAGGAAGTGATGAATAAAAAAAAAAGGTTACTTAGTTATGGACCTATGATAGAGCACGACACATGCCTCTGCTATAATTATCATGAATCACTAAAATGAAGACATCAAATATTTAAAGGTTCCATTGTGCTTGATTTTCTGTCTGTTTTAATTCTCAGTTGAAATGCTTGTATTCCTTTTTATGTTGACTAACAATGGAAAAGTTTCTCTATTTTTCAGGTGAAAAATAAACTTATTGTGTTGAATCTCTATAATTGTTGTAACCTGACTGCAATTCCTGATTTGTCTGAGTACAAATCCCTGGAAAAGCTGATACTCGTGCTCTGCAAAAATTTGAAAACTATACACAAATCAGTAGGTGGCCTGGACACTTTACGGCATCTCAACTTGAGAGAATGTTTGAGTCTTGTTGAATTTCCAAGTGATGTCTCTGGACTAAAACGTCTCGAGGTACTCATTCTCTCTGGCTGTTCACAACTGAAAAATCTACCTCGGAACATTGGCTGCATGAAGTCTTTGCAAGAACTTCTAGCTGATAGTACTGCCATAGATGAGCTGCCTGAAACTATATTCAGGCTAACTTGTCTCGAAAAGCTTTCCCTAGACCATTGCAAATCATTAAAACGACTCCCCAGAAGCATAGAAAAGCTTAGTTCCTTAAGGGAACTTTCTCTTCTTGGTTCTGCATTGGAAGAATTACCTGATTCCATTGGCTTTTTAGGAAATCTTGAGATTCTAAATTTGATGCATTGTCAATCATTAATTGCAATTCCAGATTCCATTGGAAATCTCAAATCATTGGCTAAACTCTTGCTTAATGGTAGTTCCATAGAAGTTATACCGGAATCTATTGGTTCACTATACTATCTGAAAGATTTATCCGTGGGAGACTGTAAACGTTTGCACACATTGCCAGTCACTATTGAAGGGTTGTCTTCAATGATTGCTTTTCAGTTAGACAGGACTTTAATCACTTGTTTACCTCATGAAATTGGTTTTTTGAAATCACTTAAGAAGCTTGAAATCAGAGATTGCAAGAATCTTAGCAAACTTCCAGAATCAATAGGGAACATGTCAGCCCTTCATACATTGATCTTGAACAAAGCTGTTATAATTGAGTTGCCGGAATCCATAGGATTGTTGGAGAATCTGATTGTCTTAAGATTGAATCAGTGCAAGAAACTATGCAGATTGCCTGCTTCATTTGGAAACTTGAAAAACTTGTATCACCTGTTTATGGAGGAAACTGCCATTACTGAATTACCTGAAACGTTTGGGATGCTTTATAATCTGAGGACGTTGAAAATGGCAAAGAAGCCCTACGGCCAGGCCCCTCAGATTTCTCTCGTATCAGAGCCAGCTACTAGTGCAGAGAGAAAGATAATTCCATCTTCTTTCTCGAATCTTTCCTTGTTGGTCGAATTCAATGCTCGTGCATGGAAGATATCGGGGAAGATACCTGATGATTTTGAGAAGTTATTATCTTTAGAGATTTTGAATTTGAGTCACAATGATTTTCATAGTCTTCCATCCAATATGAGACCTCTCCGTGTTCTCAAAAAGCTCGATTTATCCCACTGCAAATTGCTCAAAGTTCTTCCTCCACTTCCCGGGAGTTTGCAGGATCTAAATGCTGCAAATTGTACTTCTCTGGAAAGCATTTCTGATCTCTCAAATTTGCAGTATTTAATTGAGATGGAATTCACCAATTGTGAGAAACTAATGGACTTTCCAGGCGTTGAAAATTTGATGTCCTTGAGAAGGTTGTACATGGGAGGCTGCAGTAACCGTGCCTCAGCATTGATACAGAAACTTGACAAGGTATCTAACCATCTATCCCTCTCCCCCTTAATTTATGCATGTGTAAATCCTCTTAGATTACAATCAGTCAAGTCATCGTCCCCCTTGTGCTCTGGGCTATCCACGATCTAAAATAGCTGGACAAGGGGTCATTTTACTTGTTTCAGTTTCACTTATGGTTTATGAATATGAATTATTAAAGGTATGCATCTGAGTCACGATAATTTAATTTGCTACAATTTTTCGATGCAGGTTGCGCTGAGAAATTTATACAATTTATGCATACCGGGAAGTGAAATACCAGACTGGTTTACTCGAGATGAGATTCGCTTTTCTAGAAAGAAAAATGAGGCAATAAGGAGTGTGATTATTGCTGTTGTCGTCTCAAAGAACTCTCAAATCACCCAGGATTCAACATTCGATGAGTTGCCTGTTATGGCTGAAATCGAAGGAAAGATTCTCAGAGTAACCAGAGCAGTTTACAGTCATGCACCGAACTTAAGAGGAATCCCAAATACAGATGATGATCAACTTTATTTGTGCAGATATCCTGATTATCATCCATTAGTTTCCATTCTAGAAAACGACGACAGAATACAGGTCGTAAGGCGCAATCCTCCATTTGATCCAAGAATTATGCTGAAGAAATGTGGGATTCATTTAGTTTATGAAAATGATGACGATTATGATGGCAACGAAGAATCGTTGGATGAAAATTTACAAACGGTGTCCCACAGAATAAAGAAGATTTTTTACTCTCCTGAGGGACACAACACTAGCTCAAACTCTACTCAAGCAGATGAAGGACAGGAAGGGAACTGAGTCCATTGCCTGTAGTTTGTATTTGGCTGTTCAAGGCCGCTTTTGGCTAAATGTCTTCTTTGCTTTGAACAAAATGCTGTAAACTAGGAAGATTTTGATTTTCGACATTACTACCCATTGATGAAACTATATATTAAGTGCTCGACAACATTCAGTGACGTTCAATACTAAGCATCTCCAAGATATTTTTAAACATGAACAGTTCTATATTTTAAAGAGTCAACCTTAAAATTATGCTGTAAGAGACTTTTTAAATTAATATTTTAATTTAGATGGTTGACTCTATAATTAAATGCATTTAAAGTATTTCAATTTTTTTTACAACCCAAATAAGTCTTACAAAATTAGCATTGTTCTTCCTTAAATTAATCACTTAGTACATAAGATAAATAGAAGCCCAACAAATTAACAAAAATGAAGTTTGGGCAATGAGTTGTGACTTAAAATAGGAAACGAGATGGACCAGAAGACTAAGACTATTCAAAGAATACAAGGTCCAATCCACCATAGGTGCCCAACTCGGGACATATGCGTGACAATATCTTTTTTATTGTTGTTTACTGGTTGTTAATATTATTTATTGTCTAAACTGGATTCTGAACTAGTTACTTTATGTTTCGAAGTCATTCAATCCCTCGATCAAGTACTAAAAATGAATATTTTAAGATAAGACGAGAAGCTAACTTGGACACCAAAATTTTGTGTATCTATCTTCTCTAAATTTTGAACAAAAATTTTATTTTAAATTTTCCTATAAAATTTGAAAAAAAAAAAAAATTATTTGCCCAATACAATTGATTCGACATAAGCTTACTCTATTGGTCTAAAAAGTTTTATTTGACCTTGCAAAAAATGGTGACAAAACTAAATTGACATGATGGACTTTCGTTCTTATTTTCAATTATTTAGACTCGTCGTTATTTCTGGTACGTTGAATACTATACAAAAATTATATTGGTCAATTCAACATAATCGTATTGAGTTCCATTTTTCTTGTGAAGTATGAGCCACAAGCTGAGTTGCCAAACTTGAAAATATAAGCGATAATATTCCATGAAAGGTACCTTATGGACCTCGTACATTGACTAAAGAATACAAATTGAGGAATCAATATTTAATGGTCGTTTCAAAAATGAAAACCTACACATTTTCTCATTATGTAACCACGTGGCAAAACATTGTATCATTAGATTTTTTTTTTCCTTTATTTTTTCCTATTTTCTTTAAGTTGATAGCGAAAGAGTATATAAGTATAATCATATTAATCCATCCCATAAGAGTATACTTGTTTTTATTTTCACACAGATTAAAAAATGTAATTAATATAATTAAAAATATGTTTTTTCTTCTTTACATCCTAACAAACACCTATATTAAATAATAATTTAAATGGAATTATTTCATATTTATTGATAACAAGACTTATTAAGCCCTTATTTTGTGGGGGTTAAAATTAAAATTTTTTTAAAAAAAAAATTTGAAATGTGTGGTTGAAAAATTGTGGGACCCATAAAATGTGTGGTTAATATTAACTGTTTAACCCTGATATAGATTAAAATTTGATTTAAATCAATACCAAACAAGGGCTAAATAGAGTTATATTAGAAAATTAAAAAAAAATAAATTATATTCTCGGCAAGTTAGGACATATAATGTGATAGATGTAAAATGAAAGAGAATATACCTTTATGAGATAAAGAAAATATCAACGTTCTTGATAATGAGGTTTATTTTATTGTTTTTGTTAATCCATAATAAATTTCTATCAAAATACGTGCATAATTGAAAAGCTAGTCAATACAATCTCGAATCAAGCAAGTTTTTGCGATCCCATTTAGGTTTCCAAAAAATGCCATTCTTTTTTATTCTTAAAATTTCCCTAGTTAGTGAACACGAAGCTTACTCTATTGTGCGTATAATTATTAAAAGGTAACGAGTCCCATATGAAATTTAGGATCAGGAAAGCTACTTGAACTGAGATTCATGACAGGTATTGCGTGTCAGTACCTGTATGAATCTCTCTCTCTCTCTCTCTCTCTTTCAAACTATCAAATGAATAGTTGACACATATGCTTGTTTTTTAAATTCTATCAATTATCCATGTTTGTGTAGCAATAGGATAAGACATTAATTTCAGAGGCCATATCAATTTTTGGTGCTACAGTCTAATAGTCTGTGGTTTATTTGTTGTTTATTAGGAGTAATTAATTTATGAATTTTGCTACACGCCGCGAAGGGGTCACCGAATCATAAGTGAAGGGACTGCATTTGCTTCCAAAAAACTATTTTATTTTTTCAAAGATCAATAAATGCTTGACACCTATGTATATGTAATACTATCTACCAGAACTCTCGTACTTCATCCATCCCATAAAAATACATTTATTTTCATTTTCACTCTAATTAAATATATATAATTAATATAGTTGAAAATATAATTCTTTTTTCTTAATATAGTCTTACATTAAATAATAATTTAAATATGAGTAGTTTATATTTGTTAATAACAAAGCAAATTAGCGATGCATCCAAGGGATTATCGTTGATCTGGCTGTGGAGAAGCGCACGAGAATTATTAGTGCTAGAACTATAGCTCTCAACAATCTTCGAATATCTCCCAATGTCACTGCTGTGTTAACATACATGAAGGAGAAATACAAGGAATATTTTCAACATGGAGCAGAAGAGGGTGAAGTAATAGTGGATACCAAATGGTTCGAGTCAATGGTTAATCTGAGGATGCTCCATTTCAGTAATGTTCGACTCGAAGGAGATTTTAAACATATGCCTGGTGCAGTGAAATGGCTACAATGGAAGAAATGTTCACTCAGAAGTCTGCCTTCTGTATTTTTGGACGGTGAAATGGCTGTTCTTGATCTCTCACAGAGCAAGATTGAAAGTATATCGGGGTGGAAGTGGTTCTGGGATAGACGAAAGGTATGTTTCTGTTTCATGACATTTTCTGAGAATTGCCAAATTTAAATATGCACATAAGTTTGCAAAAAATATTAAAGAGGAAAAGCAATTGATTTTACGATTTTGGATGAAAAATCTTATTGCTATTAGTTCAAGGATCTTTATTATTATTATTATTATTATTATTATTATTATTATTATTATTATTTTTAATTCAGTTATGCAACAGATTATCTTTGATGTATCTAGTTCATTTGGGAAAGATAGTAACAGTGGAATAGGCATGTCTCATTCTTTCTTGCCATATGTTTGAGGAGGCCGAAAGGGATTTTGTTGATTCTGATTCATCCATTCTAGCCTGTAGCAGAGAATACATTTTCGGAGCCGCTCCTCCACCGTTCTTATATATCTATCACTCCATAAATCTATCCCTATTAAAATTTTAAATTTTAAGAAAGTACTATATTCATTCATATCACATTCCAATTTTATCTTTATTAAATTCATTTGTTTAAACACTATTTACCTGCACCATTTTTATGTGCCTATGCTACTCTAATTTATCCCTATTTAAATTTTAAAAATGTACTATACTCATTTTCATTATATTCCAACACTACACTTAGAGCTTGTTTGCTATAGATTTTAAGCCAATTTCATCATGCATTGAGAATTTGGTTTTGATAAAGACTTTGGGATAAGGACTCTAATTCATACACAACTTCAAGATTTAACTCGTACAAATTCTCCACGAGGTATAAGCTCTTCATAGGTTCAACATAACAATTAGATTATTGTTGTATACATTGGAAACTTGAGAGAATTGTTTAGTTTTATATTGAGAGAATTAAATCTTGTGAAGACAATTTTAGTTTCTTGGAATAATAAAGTCTCATCTCATCCTCTTCCACAAAAATCTTGTTTGTTCTTTGATCCATTATTTTTATATTATTCATATTTACTCGTTCTTTAATTATTTGGTCGGATTATCAACAATACTCGTGGTACTCCTCGTTTCTCTTCTCCAACAAATGTATTTGCTCTTGAATATCCTTGATTTCCTGACTCTGCATGCACACCATGCGATCCTCCCTCATCTTCAAAGACACCGACCAAGCTCAGAGGCCTTTCTCTTCAAAAATGAGGATTCGGAAGCCAACCCTTTTGTTCTCTTCCATTAACGACGTCATTCAAATGTCGCATTATCATTCAAAAGAATTAGGTTTCTAATTCCAGTACATCCAGCAAATTCTGCTACAGCTCTATCTTTCTCACTAATTCACTCAACCGGTTCTCGGCTATGCTAAGCTCATTCAGATTGAACTTCATGGTTGACGTTCTACTATGATCATATCAGGATCTGGCTCCCAATAAAAGTGACTTGAATGACACTGAACACCCAGCATCAGAGTCTATTGCTGGCATCCCCTCTCCATCAAACTGACTGTTATCTTTGAAACTTAAGGGTGGGACCAGGGAGGAGTGTTGAAGTGAATGACGTGTCAAATTTCAATCCATTGGTGGATTTTAAACTTAATTCAAATGTTGAAGCCCACCATAAGTTTATCCACCAATGAATTTATATGATACCTCAACATAATGTTAAAAATATAATATAGATTTATTATTATTATTATTTTTTAAATGGATAGATATAAAAAATGATGGATGAAATAGAGGCTCCCTACATTCTTCCCCTTTTATGCATTTTCACTATTCTAGAATATTGTTTTTTCTTAAGCTTTAGATCAACAAGGGTGTCTTCGAAATTTAAACTAAGGTGAAGGATTTTTGAAAAGAGTGCAGGTGTGGAAGATAGAAATTTTATAATCACTGCTTATATAGCATCTTTGTTACCCATTATTAGATCTTGCATGGTATTAAGCTTTTCAATATCAATTGAAATATGTTGTTGCGTCTCAGTCTGCATTGAAATTGGGGTTGACTGATGATGTGAATTAAGCTTTTAATATCATTGTAACCAGTCTAGATCATTGATGAAAGGTTTTGTAATATGAGCTTGGGCTTGTCACAACAATATAGTTACAAGAAAATGAGACAGAAAATGAACTAAGGAAGTGATGAATAAAAAAAAAAGGTTACTTAGTTATGGACCTATGATAGAGCACGACACATGCCTCTGCTATAATTATCATGAATCACTAAAATGAAGACATCAAATATTTAAAGGTTCCATTGTGCTTGATTTTCTGTCTGTTTTAATTCTCAGTTGAAATGCTTGTATTCCTTTTTATGTTGACTAACAATGGAAAAGTTTCTCTATTTTTCAGGTGAAAAATAAACTTATTGTGTTGAATCTCTATAATTGTTGTAACCTGACTGCAATTCCTGATTTGTCTGAGTACAAATCCCTGGAAAAGCTGATACTCGTGCTCTGCAAAAATTTGAAAACTATACACAAATCAGTAGGTGGCCTGGACACTTTACGGCATCTCAACTTGAGAGAATGTTTGAGTCTTGTTGAATTTCCAAGTGATGTCTCTGGACTAAAACGTCTCGAGGTACTCATTCTCTCTGGCTGTTCACAACTGAAAAATCTACCTCGGAACATTGGCTGCATGAAGTCTTTGCAAGAACTTCTAGCTGATAGTACTGCCATAGATGAGCTGCCTGAAACTATATTCAGGCTAACTTGTCTCGAAAAGCTTTCCCTAGACCATTGCAAATCATTAAAACGACTCCCCAGAAGCATAGAAAAGCTTAGTTCCTTAAGGGAACTTTCTCTTCTTGGTTCTGCATTGGAAGAATTACCTGATTCCATTGGCTTTTTAGGAAATCTTGAGATTCTAAATTTGATGCATTGTCAATCATTAATTGCAATTCCAGATTCCATTGGAAATCTCAAATCATTGGCTAAACTCTTGCTTAATGGTAGTTCCATAGAAGTTATACCGGAATCTATTGGTTCACTATACTATCTGAAAGATTTATCCGTGGGAGACTGTAAACGTTTGCACACATTGCCAGTCACTATTGAAGGGTTGTCTTCAATGATTGCTTTTCAGTTAGACAGGACTTTAATCACTTGTTTACCTCATGAAATTGGTTTTTTGAAATCACTTAAGAAGCTTGAAATCAGAGATTGCAAGAATCTTAGCAAACTTCCAGAATCAATAGGGAACATGTCAGCCCTTCATACATTGATCTTGAACAAAGCTGTTATAATTGAGTTGCCGGAATCCATAGGATTGTTGGAGAATCTGATTGTCTTAAGATTGAATCAGTGCAAGAAACTATGCAGATTGCCTGCTTCATTTGGAAACTTGAAAAACTTGTATCACCTGTTTATGGAGGAAACTGCCATTACTGAATTACCTGAAACGTTTGGGATGCTTTATAATCTGAGGACGTTGAAAATGGCAAAGAAGCCCTACGGCCAGGCCCCTCAGATTTCTCTCGTATCAGAGCCAGCTACTAGTGCAGAGAGAAAGATAATTCCATCTTCTTTCTCGAATCTTTCCTTGTTGGTCGAATTCAATGCTCGTGCATGGAAGATATCGGGGAAGATACCTGATGATTTTGAGAAGTTATTATCTTTAGAGATTTTGAATTTGAGTCACAATGATTTTCATAGTCTTCCATCCAATATGAGACCTCTCCGTGTTCTCAAAAAGCTCGATTTATCCCACTGCAAATTGCTCAAAGTTCTTCCTCCACTTCCCGGGAGTTTGCAGGATCTAAATGCTGCAAATTGTACTTCTCTGGAAAGCATTTCTGATCTCTCAAATTTGCAGTATTTAATTGAGATGGAATTCACCAATTGTGAGAAACTAATGGACTTTCCAGGCGTTGAAAATTTGATGTCCTTGAGAAGGTTGTACATGGGAGGCTGCAGTAACCGTGCCTCAGCATTGATACAGAAACTTGACAAGGTATCTAACCATCTATCCCTCTCCCCCTTAATTTATGCATGTGTAAATCCTCTTAGATTACAATCAGTCAAGTCATCGTCCCCCTTGTGCTCTGGGCTATCCACGATCTAAAATAGCTGGACAAGGGGTCATTTTACTTGTTTCAGTTTCACTTATGGTTTATGAATATGAATTATTAAAGGTATGCATCTGAGTCACGATAATTTAATTTGCTACAATTTTTCGATGCAGGTTGCGCTGAGAAATTTATACAATTTATGCATACCGGGAAGTGAAATACCAGACTGGTTTACTCGAGATGAGATTCGCTTTTCTAGAAAGAAAAATGAGGCAATAAGGAGTGTGATTATTGCTGTTGTCGTCTCAAAGAACTCTCAAATCACCCAGGATTCAACATTCGATGAGTTGCCTGTTATGGCTGAAATCGAAGGAAAGATTCTCAGAGTAACCAGAGCAGTTTACAGTCATGCACCGAACTTAAGAGGAATCCCAAATACAGATGATGATCAACTTTATTTGTGCAGATATCCTGATTATCATCCATTAGTTTCCATTCTAGAAAACGACGACAGAATACAGGTCGTAAGGCGCAATCCTCCATTTGATCCAAGAATTATGCTGAAGAAATGTGGGATTCATTTAGTTTATGAAAATGATGACGATTATGATGGCAACGAAGAATCGTTGGATGAAAATTTACAAACGGTGTCCCACAGAATAAAGAAGATTTTTTACTCTCCTGAGGGACACAACACTAGCTCAAACTCTACTCAAGCAGATGAAGGACAGGAAGGGAACTGAGTCCATTGCCTGTAGTTTGTATTTGGCTGTTCAAGGCCGCTTTTGGCTAAATGTCTTCTTTGCTTTGAACAAAATGCTGTAAACTAGGAAGATTTTGATTTTCGACATTACTACCCATTGATGAAACTATATATTAAGTGCTCGACAACATTCAGTGACGTTCAATACTAAGCATCTCCAAGATATTTTTAAACATGAACAGTTCTATATTTTAAAGAGTCAACCTTAAAATTATGCTGTAAGAGACTTTTTAAATTAATATTTTAATTTAGATGGTTGACTCTATAATTAAATGCATTTAAAGTATTTCAATTTTTTTTACAACCCAAATAAGTCTTACAAAATTAGCATTGTTCTTCCTTAAATTAATCACTTAGTACATAAGATAAATAGAAGCCCAACAAATTAACAAAAATGAAGTTTGGGCAATGAGTTGTGACTTAAAATAGGAAACGAGATGGACCAGAAGACTAAGACTATTCAAAGAATACAAGGTCCAATCCACCATAGGTGCCCAACTCGGGACATATGCGTGACAATATCTTTTTTATTGTTGTTTACTGGTTGTTAATATTATTTATTGTCTAAACTGGATTCTGAACTAGTTACTTTATGTTTCGAAGTCATTCAATCCCTCGATCAAGTACTAAAAATGAATATTTTAAGATAAGACGAGAAGCTAACTTAGACACCAAAACTTTGTGTATCTATCTTCTCTAAATTTTGAACAAAAAATTTATTTTAAATTTTCCTATAAAATTTGAAAAAAAAAAAATTATTTGCCCAATACAATTGATTCGACATAAGCTTACTCTATTGGTCTAAAAAGTTTTATTTGACCTTGCAAAAAATGGTGACAAAACTAAATTGACATGATGGACTTTCGTTCTTATTTTCAATTATTTAGACTCGTCGTTATTTTTGGTACGTTGAATACTATACAAAAATTATATTGGTCAATTCAACATAATCGTATTGAGTTCCATTTTTCTTGTGAAGTATGAGCCACAAGCTGAGTTGCCAAACTTGAAAAATAAGCGATAATATTCCATGAAAGGTACCTTATGGACCTCGTACACTGACTAAAGAATACAAATTGAGGAATCAATATTTAATGGTCGTTTCAAAAATGAAAACCTACACATTTTCTCATTATGTAACCACGTGGCAAAACATTGTATCATTAGATTTTTTTTTTCCTTTATTTTTTCCTATTTTCTTTAAGTTGATAGCGAAAGAGTATATAAGTATAATCATATTAATCCATCCCATAAGAGTATACTTGTTTTTATTTTCACACGGATTAAAAAATGTAATTAATATAATTAAAAATATGTTTTTTTTTTCTTTTTACATCCTAACAAACACCTATATTAAATAATAATTTAAATGGAATTATTTCATATTTATTGATAACAAGACTTATTAAGCCCTTGTTTTGTGGGGGTTAAAATTAAAATTAAAAAAAAATATTTTTGAAATGTGTGGTTGAAAAATTGTGGGACCCATAAAATGTGTGGTTAATATTAACTGTTTAACCCTGATATAGATTAAAATTTGATTTAAATCAATACCAAACAAGGGCTAAATAGAGTTATATTAGAAAATTAAAAAAAAATAAATTATATTCTCGGCAAGTTAGGACATATAATGTGATAGATGTAAAATGAAAGAGAATATACCTTTATGAGATAAAGAAAATATCAACGTTCTTGATAATGAGGTTTATTTTATTGTTTTTGTTAATCCATAATAAATTTCTATCAAAATACGTGCATAATTGAAAAGCTAGTCAATACAATCTCGAATCAAGCAAGTTTTTGCGATCCCATTTAGGTTTCCAAAAAATGCTATTCTTTTTTATTCTTAAAATTTCCCTAGTTAGTGAACACGAAGCTTACCTTATTGTGCGTATAATCATTAAAAGGTAACAAGTCCCATATGAAATTTAGGATCAGGAAAGCTACTTGAACTGAGATTCATGACAGGTATTGCGTGTCAGTACCTGTATGAATCTCTCTCTCTCTCTCTCTCTCTTTCAAACTATCAAATGAATGGTTGACATATGTGCTTGTTTTTTAAATTCTATCAATTATCCATGTTTGTGTAGCAATAGGATAAGACATTAATTTCAGAGGCCATATCCATTTTTGGTGCTACAGTCTAATAGTATGTGGTTTATTTGTTGTTTATTAGGAGTAATTAATTTATGAATTTTGCTACACTCCGGGAAGGGGTCACCGAAGCATACGTGGAGGGACTGCATTTGCTGCCAAAAAACTATTTTATTTTTTCAAAGATCAATAAATGCTTGACACCTATGTATATGTAATACTATCTACCAGAACTCTCGTACTTCATCCATCCCATAAAAATACATTTATTTTCATTTTCACTCTAATTAAATATATATAATTAATATAGTTGAAAATATAATTCTTTTTTCTTAATATAGTCTTACATTAAATAATAATTTAAATATGAGTAGTTTATATTTGTTAATAACAAAGCAAATTATACGTAAGATCATATTTGAAAATTAAAAGATCAATTATACTATAATTTGAGACAAGAAAAAATGACACTAGGCCAGAAATAAGTTCAATATTAATAGTTCCATATGACATCTAACCAAACTAGAATGTAACGTATAACGGTCTAATCAACCTAAAATGTCATATCAAGTCATAGATTTTTTTTCCTAACTAATGAGGAGATCTTTGTGAAGTATGTAGTGGGAAAAAAAATGAAAAAGAGAAAAACCTTTATAGAAAGTTAATTGATCATAAAAATCAAATAAGTCATTTTCAGCTATTGTTATCCCTAGAGGCATATAAGATCAAGGTTAAATGTGTGAACGGTGCATAAACTTTATTACATGTATAAAAAAATATGTAAGAACTCACAAATTTGTACATGTTTATACATTGATTAAAAGAATACCCCGTGACAATGATTGAATGACGTGACAAACACATGACAAATTCATTAAACAAATGATACATGACCCAAATGGTTACTGAATTTTGCATAAAGTTTCCACAGGGTCAATGAACTTTAAAAAGCATCTAATTCATTACAGAACTTTGCAAAAGATTTCCACGAGGTCATTGAATTTTAAAAATCACATAATTTATCACTGAACTTTGCAAAATGTTTCCGAGGGGTGGAAAGTTTAGTGATGAATGTGGTAATTTTTAAAGTTTAGTAACCTCATGAAAACCTTTTGTAAAGTTTAGTAATAAATTTGGCGATTTTAAAGTTCAATGATCCCGTGAAAACTTTTTGCAAGGTTTAATGACCATTTGAGTAATTTACTCCTTGAACTTTACCTTCTTACCTTTGTATCAATACCATACATGACCTCAACTTTGTATTAAAAAACATACATGCACCAAAATCAACTTCCGTCTATCAATACAAAAGGAACAAGCCACTTGGCAAATGGAGTGCCTACGTGAAATTCGTATGATGGATACTTGACATTACCAAAATCATGTCATAAATCATGTTTAACTTCAAAACAATACAACACGATTGGAAAAGAGCGATAATACGTTTTCTTCTATTTTGAAATCGCAAAAAGAAGGATTAGCAAGTAGTAATATAAGTGCTTTTCTCACTCAGTTGAAGCAGTGAGAGAGTAAATATTTTATTTTTTGAAATCCACAGCCGTTTAGAGTTTATCGAACATTCGAGGCCAATATTTGGGTAAATTTATTTTTAACCACATTTTTCTAATAAAATAATTTTTCACTTAAATTTAAATATTTTTTATACTTTTCGACAACACATTTTTTAAAAAATCACTTCTTACAAAATATATTCCCAAAAATGGTTTCGATTCTGCAAAAAACTGAATAAGAAGAAATAATAAAAAGTTTACATATTTTCTTGAATGATGGAACGTTATTATTAAGAGGAAAAACAGAACATTGAATACTTTCTCCAATATTTGGCAATTGCCTCCCACGCCATTTTCATGACGGCACCTCTTTTGCCACTTGGATTGTTTTGTTAATTTTTTACAATTGTATAGGTGAGATGTAAATTTGTGAGTTCACGTATGATTTCCATGAAAAAATGAGTTCATGTATGTTTTGATAGACGTCAACTTCGCGTCTCATTCTCGTACTTTAGTGTTTACCATGTAGGCTTACTAAGCATGAACAGTTCTATATTTTAAAGAGTCAACCTTAAAAAAATTATGCTGTAAGAGACTTTTTAAATTAATATTTTAATTTAGATGGTTGACTCTATAATTAAATGCATTTAAAGTATTTCAATTTTTTTTACAACCCCTCTCTTGAACGATTTTTAAATCGGTAATTTTTGGATTTAGTCCAACGTACCTTTCTCTACCAACCAATCCAATCGACTCCAAATCAGAACCAATATAACTCATCTCGGTTGCTATTCAAGTTTAGCCACGTAGTACAAGAAAAAGGTGATGATTTGTGGCCACAAAAGCTAAGAAAAGAAACTACAATTTTTTTTACAACCCAAATAAGTCTTACAAAATTAGCATTGTTCTTCCTTAAATTAATCACTTAGTACATAAGATAAATAGAAGCCCAACAAATTAACAAAAATGAAGTTTGGGCAATGAGTTGTGACTTAAAATAGGAAACGAGATGGACCAGAAGACTAAGACTATTCAAAGAATACAAGGTCCAATCCACCATAGGTGCCCAACTCGGGACATATGCGTGACAATATCTTTTTTATTGTTGTTTACTGGTTGTTAATATTATTTATTGTCTAAACTGGATTCTGAACTAGTTACTTTATGTTTCGAAGTCATTCAATCCCTCGATCAAGTACTAAAAATGAATATTTTAAGATAAGACGAGAAGCTAACTTAGACACCAAAACTTTGTGTATCTATCTTCTCTAAATTTTGAACAAAAAATTTATTTTAAATTTTCCTATAAAATTTGAAAAAAAAAAAATTATTTGCCCAATACAATTGATTCGACATAAGCTTACTCTATTGGTCTAAAAAGTTTTATTTGACCTTGCAAAAAATGGTGACAAAACTAAATTGACATGATGGACTTTCGTTCTTATTTTCAATTATTTAGACTCGTCGTTATTTTTGGTACGTTGAATACTATACAAAAATTATATTGGTCAATTCAACATAATCGTATTGAGTTCCATTTTTCTTGTGAAGTATGA